GGGAGGGAGGGAGGGAGGGAGGGAGGAAGAGGAACTGTCATTTTGCTGGGGGCTATTGCAACAATTATTACACATTTGGTGACTTAAAGTAACATTTCATTCTGGAGGCCAGAAGTGGAAAGTATTATTAGACCACACTGAAGACAAGAAACTAGCATTTGGGAGGCTGAGACAGGAGGATTGTTGTAAATCTGAGGTAATCCAGAGCTACATAGTGAAATCTAATTTTTTTTTAAATTGTTTTCAAGGAGGTTCTAGTCTCCTTGGTGGGTTTCTTACTGCTGGAATCATTGATTAAGCGCTGTGGGTATCATGAACGTGAACTGTCAAATCTCCCGTGCATGCAATAACTCCCCCCCTTTTATGACACTACAATGTACCTTCATAATACCAAGAGGGGTCATTCAATCCTTAAGCAAAATTAATAGTTTTACTTGAAATATATAATAATTGGTAGGAGAAGGGAATATAAAATGTAGCTTAAAATAACATTTTAATTAGAGGCAGGCATGGTATGATCTTGTAACCTGTAACTTGAAGGCTGGAAGCCTTGAGCAAGACGAGCCTGGTGAATTTACAGCTAGCTTTGGCTAAAACACCCTGTCTCAAAATCATAACATAAAGAAAACAGTAATTTTTTTTAAAAAAAGACTCACTGATTATCACCCAATAGCACGATACCTTTCTGGCTAGTTATCGACACACTCACTTTGCTTCAAGTTGGATTGCTCTTCTCTGGTGATACACCAATGCTGTAGGCTCTGCTGCCAAAACTTTAAGTTTTCCATGAAGATAGAAAGCAGTTCTTCGGCCTTTCTTTATTGTCTCAATAAAGGCATCATATTCTTTTTTGATTGAAGTAAGAATGGACTTGTATGCATTGACATAGTCTATTACCTGAAATACGATTTTTCTGTCTGTGGCACTGAACTTAACAGAAGATATGGTGATCAAAAGCCTTTTAAGCAGGCTATTTTTTAGGTGAAACATAATTATTAGACATATAAACATCTTACACCAAACTAAACATGAGTAGGCACTAAAAACAACAACCACCAAGCATACGCTCTCCGTGGGTCACTATGCAGATACTGCGATCCTGGCTATGAGAAAGGCTTTCTTATACTTGGTATGAATTCGTACATGAGACATGAACTGATGTAATACTAGGTCTACGTTTCTCTCTCTCTTTTTTTTTTTTTTTTAGGTCTACATTTCTCAACTGTAGATCTTTTAATTATATATCATCTCTTACTCCTTTGAAACCTAGTCTCTTAATTTTTACGTTATTTTTATACTACTTTTAATGATTTGTATGTGTGTCTGTGTATAGGTGTGTGCATGTGAGTGCAGGTTCCTGAAGAAATCAGAGGTTTCAGATCCCCTAGAGCTGGAGTTGTAGCTATGAACTAATTACCTGCTGCGGGTGCTAGAAATCTAACTCAGGTCTTCTAGATGAGCACTTTAGGCTCTTAACCACTGAGTAATCTCTCCACCCCCCACTGAGATACTGCAGTCTGAACTCATTCACCTTCACAAGGGAAACCAGATCAGAGCTCCTAACTGCATCTCAACTTGTCAAAAACAACTGTGAAAAGAGTCCACATCATATAAGGTCATGGTTTCCAATAATCTGTAAGCAAAGCATCTATCAGGAAGGATAACAGAGGAAAAGAACAGTAGAAAGGTTAACAAAGAAACCTAAGTGCCCTCAGAAAGGACACTTTCCATGCAGGGAGGAGAGGGAGGGGGTGGTGGAGCACAGCACATGCCCCTTTATTAGGGCTATTTTTTCTTAATCTTGCATATTCATCATTCATACAAAAATAAATTATTAAAAATTTAAATAGGTTAAGAAACAAAACAAAAAACTTTGTATTTCAAATATTGATGATATATAGGGAATAAAAGTAATTGATCCAAAATTTTCTCTGAAATCTGAGATTATGCTTGTTTTTCTCTGCTACATTTCTTGGGTGTGTTATCCCCCACAAGTGTTTTGTTTCAGAGATTTTTTTTTCCTAGCTAAATAGTATCTAAAGAAAGCTATCCAGGAAGACATCTATGTTATCACAAGAGATCTAGAGAGGTCATTAATCTGCAGCAAGTACCAGAAAAAGGTATCTGAGGAATACAGTGCTTTTTAAATTTTTTGCCATAACCACCACCTGTCCACTGCGAAGAGGGCCCTTTCATACGGAAAAGCTTTCCACATTAAGTACTCTGATACTTGTTCTTGCTCATCTTTTATCTCACGTGTTCCTGTTACATGCTCTAATAATCCAGCTCAAGTACGTGAGTGAGTAGTCAATACAACCGCAGCGACTCCATGATCAATGACCATGCCAGTGTGCTAGAAGACCCAGTCTCAATAGAACACTGATAGATACCATTTTTAATATACTGAAAAGCATTAGAGTGGGGAATGCAAAGGAATATCACCATATTTAGACCTCCAAAAGGGCTTAAACTGTTTAGATAAATTTTCATTCACTGATTCATTCGTTGATTCTATGTCATAATGTTGTTCATGGTGGCTGCCAACTCTTGACTGCAAAGGATTTTCCAGCTTCAGCCTCCCTATCAGCTGGGATGACAGGCATGTGGCATAGCACCTGGCTTAAGAGGTCTCAATTTAACATGCCATATCATATCCAAACCAAGATTTTACTGATACCACAAACAAACCCAGAACATAAAATACTAGTTCTTGTTCACAATGCAAATTCTAGCAAATTAGCACCTTCACTTGAAATGGTAAAAATGATTACCAGAGAGTACAACCAAGTTATTGAAAAAAAAATGGATGAACTCCTGCAAACTAGCATCCAGAAAGCAATGGTCAGACATGCCCTACTCAAGAGCATCATGGTACCTTGTCGAAAACGTTTCGGTATATGGCATAATATTCATCAGCAGGTCCTTCCTCGTTGCAACCCACTCTTTTGGTTTCTGTAATTATGTATCTTTGTATGCTTTCCAAAAACTCCTTGTCATTTCTACTAATGATGGGAGGGAGAACTGCATGTTTGTTCACTTCTTGGACTGACATAAATCTTAATCTGCAAGCTTGTTCACTGGAGAAAAATTAAACCTTGACCTCCTTTTGCAACAAAGCCAAAAAACTTTAGTGAACCTGAAAGAAAACATGACAATCAGTTAATGTGTAGGCCTAAAACTCTTAGGTCAAAAGTCAATTTAAAAATATGTATGTCTCAGAAAAACATTAAGAGATCTGTTATTGAGGTAAATATTTCAGTCAATGAATTAAAATGCCTATGCTAGTCTCCTGATATACTGGCTCAGCAAGAGCCTGAAGTCCTGAGCTGGAGATCCAGAACCCAAACAAAGGTGGGAGAAGAGAACCAACTCCACAAAGCTGTCTTCTGACCTCCACCCAAGGCCCCCTGCCAGAATGCTGATCAAGTATAAAAGAACTCCCTTCCCTTTGGAAACCAAGCAGACCCCATCATGTGTATTAAATGATAGCTTCCTAGGTTTCAACTCAACACTTAAAAACAAACTCACCATGTATCTTACAATGCTGGGGATTAAATCAGAGTCTAGAACACGGTAAGTAAGCAATCTACCACTGAGAAATATCACAGCCCTCTTTTAAAAATTTTATATCACATTTTCATTCTTTTAAAGTATGTGAAATGGACAGTAAGTAGTCGAGACTTCACTCTTCCAAAAGTTTATTTTATTTCTTTCATCTGGTGAATGATGACTGTGTATGCTTCTTGCTGATACAAACAAGGTCAAATACTTCTCTACCTCAGTGTCTGCCTAGCCCTGTGACACTCATCCACCACACAATGGCCATAATTCGGTGACTTGTGTATTGTTTTAAATTGTTGTTTAGAGATAGGCTTTGTTGCAACCCTAACTCCCTATGTAGCTGAGAATGACCTTGAATACCTCTCCTTCCTGCCTTCACTACGAAAATGACAAAAATACACCACATGCTTAAATAAATAAATAAATAAAACCCCAACAACAACAAAACATGACTTCTGGGGCTAGAGAGATGGCTTTTCAGTTAAGTGCACTGGTTACTTTTTTATTGAACCTGAATTTGATTCCCAGCACCTACATAGTGACTTACAACCATCTTTAACCTCAGTTCCAGCAAATTGGATGTTTTCTTCCGGCTTCCACTGGCACCAGGCATGAAAGTGATGCAACAGACATAAATGCTGACAAAGCACACACACACACACATACACACACACACATTCACACATGCACACACATACACTCACATGCACACGCACACACACACACATAAACAGGCAGAAAGGGCCTTGTTGGGAAGAAGGGTTTCAGTGGGAGGAGTTGGGATGAGACAGGATGATAATGAAAAAAACTAAAACTCACTAAATATATGAAGCTATCAGAGAAGAAAAAATTTTAAACTACTGCTGTGGTGGGACACACCTTTAATCTTGGCACTTGAGAGGCAGAAACAGTTGGATCTTTGTGAGTTCAAGGCCAATTTGGTCTACAGAGTAAAATCCAGGCCAGCTAGGGCTACATAGTTAGATTCTGTGTCAAAAATGATAAAATGTGTAATTTTTTTCCCAAAGAGCTCTAATGATAGTATTTATTGCATAGTATTTCATGGTATGGGATTCCACTAATTATTTAACCATTCCCATTAGCCATCGAACTTTTACTACTATAAATAATGATACTTTGAATAAGTGTTTAAATTAATTTTATGATATGTTGGCAATATAGCTGATAACCAGTTATCTAAACTAATGTATCATGCTATAAATACCACAAACATGAATCAGGCAGGACGCCAGTCTCCATGGTGGTGCATATCTTTAATCTCATCACTTGAGAGGCAGAAAAACAGCTGATTCTCTGTGGTTCAAGGCCAAGTGGTCTACATAGTGAGAGCCTGGCTAGCCAAGGCTACATAGAAAGGCCTTATCTCAAATAAATAAACTAAAAATTAAAAAAAAAGGAGACAGCACAATAGATTTGATGAGTTGGATAACAAAAAGTCAATTTACAAGAAGACATAAAGTAGTCCCAGCAAAGTCATAAGTAATGTATGCTTAAAGTGTTCTTTAATTTAAAAAAAAATCACTTAGTGTGTGTGTGTGTGTGGGGGTACATGCTTGTCATGGTATACATATAGAGGTCAGAGGACAATGGAAGTCGGTTCTTCTTCCTCATGGAGGTCCCAGTGACTGGATCAGCAGGCTTGACAGCAAGTGCATTAGCTTTTTGACCCATATCATTGGCCTAAAGTGTTCTCAAATATAAAATCAATTTGTTTTACTCATTAGTTCAGTCACTATTGGATGTCTATTTAGTATTTTACTGCTAGGGATTCAGCAATAAGTAAAATAGGGTCCTGGCTCCTTGGAGCTTACAATCTGGTAAGACAAAGTACAGATAATGTAATTGCAAATAGTAACAAAGTTAAAAGACAGGGGAAGGGCAGATCACTGGGGCATGTGTGCTCACATCTGAGTAGTAGTAGTGGAAACCCAAGTTCCTTTGGTGGCCTATTAATGGGCCAACAACTTTTTCTCTCTGACAAAACTATCTTTTTATGTTTTGTCTTTGTTCCTCTTACTTGAAGGTAACAAACTTTTTTTTAGTATATATTTATTTATTTTATTATGTATATAACTATACTGTAGCTGACTTCAGACACACCAGAAGAGGGCATCAGATCCCATTACAGATGGTTGTAAGCCACCATGTGGTTGTTGGGAATTGACCTCTGGAAGAGCAGTCAGTGCTCTTAACCACTGAGGCATCTCTCTAGCTCACATTTTACTCTTCGTAGTGTTTAATATTAGTTCTAGGGCCCTACACATGCTCAGATAACCTTTAACCTCAAAGTAAAATATTTGAATGATGTAGGATAACACCATCACTTTTTTTACTTTTCTGTTTATGTTCACATTCGTGTGGGTACATGTGTGGAGACAGGAGGATCACGTTGTGTTGAGTTGTGTGTGTGTGGTCTATTTGAATCAGTCTATCTTTAATTTTTAAATTTTTATTGCATTTAGTTAGTTCGGGGGTAGGGAGTCCTGTGAAAGTCCAAGGGCAACTTGCTAGAGTTGGTTTTCTCTACCAATTGACTCTCAAGGTTGGAACTCCAGATCAGATGTTAACTCCCTTAACTGATGAGCCATTCAGAAGCCCTGTCTTATTTTAAGAATTATGTGAGCCAGGCGGTGGTGGGGCACACCTTTAATCCCAGCACTTGGGAGGCAGAGGCAGGTGGATTTCTGAGTTCGAGAGTTCGAGGCTAGCCTGGTCTACAGAGTGAATTCCAGGACAGCCAGGGCTACACAGAGAAACCCTGTCTTGAAAAAACCAAACAAACAAACAAACAAAAAATTAAGAATTATGTGTGTCATGTGGGTGTGGGTAGTGTCAATGTTCCCCATCTCTCATTGAACCTGCTGGGCAATGATCCAGGGAGTCTCCTGTCTCTGTTGGCCTACCATGTCAAAGACTCCGCTAGGCACACCAGCCTTTTCTAAAGTGGGTGCTGGAGTTCCAACATAGGGTTTTGCATATCGAACATTTACCTACTGAGTCATCTCCTAGCCCCCCACTTTTACTTTTCAAAATGTGTACTTTGGAGGCAGAACTAGATTAACATGAGGAAAGAGCAAACAGATTATTAGGAAGATACGGATCCTCTTTATAAGAAAACGGAGCACGCCTACGCTTACGGATAGGAAGAAAAGATACTGAGAGGGTGCTTTAGAAAGGGCACTGGGTTTGTGAGGTGGAGAAGGAAGGGGCTGGGAAAGGGCACAGCCAGCTTCTAACAGCTTCAAGTTTCTCCGAGAGCACATGCTCCTATTTTCTCTAGGATGGACAGTCCCCACATGCAAGCTTGTAGTCAAAGACTAACCATTCTGCAGATTCCCTTATTGTATGGCTTTTAAAACGTGAAAAGATGAAATTCCAATACATTTAACCATTTCATACTAGAAAGGCACGTGAGGCTCAAAAGCTTCTTCGGATCGGAGAGAGGATAGCGAAGGACCAAGGAAGGGGCTACACTGGAAGAGGCAGAACCCCGCACTTCAGGTGCCTAGGAGTTGCCAGAGGATACCCCGACCAGCTCCTCATTAAGGTCTGATAGACACCTTCAGCCCCAAATGTCGTTCTAGCCCTTAAGCCTTTCCTCCTGGGCATTCCGGAGAGGCCCCAACCACGAGCAAATCACTAGGTCTCATGCCCAAGTCCTCACCTGACTCTCTCCTAACCCTGACTCCACAGCTTAGACATTGTAATCAGGGATCCCGGAAGTGTGGAAATGCATCTTGGGACAAGTAGTTCTAGCAAGAAGAGAGCGGTGTAAAACTACAATTCCCAGATAGACTTGTTTTACCTCTCTTTTCTCATGCTCCACAAGCCCCCTTTAAAAGAAAGCCCCTATTAATTGCATCGGCTGTATAAGAAAGCCTTCTGAGGCATTTTTAGTTGAACACACCATTTTGAGACCATTCTGAACCAAAATTTGAAAAGAGCGTAGAGAAATTGAACGCCCAAGCTAGTCTGGCACTGCATTAGACAGCCACGATTCAGCTGCAGGGCGCAGGCACATGCGTGGCCGCCTAAGGGGCGGGTCCTTCGGCCGGGAGACCCCGTCCTCCACGCTAGGCTCTTCCTTTCCGATCCGCCATCGTTGGTGAGTGTGTGCTCTGTTGCCTGGCTCTGTCTAGTGGCCCTACGCGTCGCTCTCACCGGTGTCGTCGGGTCTAATCCGTCTCTTTTCGAATGCAGGTGGAGCTGCAGCCACGATGCAGATTTTTGTGAAGACCCTTACGGGGAAGACCATCACGCTCGAGGTACGGGCCAGGTGGCGTTGCGGAAGCCAAGGCCCGACTGTGGCCCTCAGTGTTTGAGAGCGCGTTTCTGAGTCTGAGTTCTGAAGCTTGTCTTTGAGCTGAGAATAGGTGCTTAGCAAACGCCAAAGTTTTGTTTTCGGTGCGGTACGGTTTCTCTGCTCTCTCCGGAGTGGCGAAATGTAGGGTATGTGGTGGGAGAAGCTTCTCTGCGGGCAGACGCGATCGTGTGCTTCCCTGCCTTCGCTCGCCCTGGTCTGGGAACAAATTTGGATTGTAGCACTCTTGGTAGGTTGCCCGCTGTGCCGTCTTCATTGATTAGCTGAAGCTCATCTCGCTTGTTTTGTGTAAAGTTAGCATTTAATGAGATGACTGCTCTAGCTTCTTACTATGTAACTGTATATTAACTACGTATATCAAAACTTGCAGGTTGAACCCTCGGACACTATAGAAAATGTAAAGGCCAAGATCCAGGATAAGGAAGGCAAGTAAAGTTTTGTCACTGGAAAAATTGCTGGCTTGTATGACCTAGACATGTTTGCTCTTAGGGTAGAAGACAGATTAACAGATTTACATGCATTTGAAAATAAAATATTCCTGAGAGTGGTGATAGGCTATCTGATTGGGAACTCTGCAAGGCAATTTTTTTTAAACAAGTTAGTCTTTCCCTGCTTACTGATTCACAAAGACTATAAAATGTTCAGGCATAATCAATTCAAACTCCTAAGAATGCTCAGGCTGAACCGGGTGGCAGTGGCGCACACGGCGCACGACTTTAATCCCAGCACCAGGGAGGCAGAGGCAGGCGGATTTCTGAGGCCAGCCTGGTCTACAGAGTGAGTTCCAGGACAGCCAAGGCTACACAGAGAAACCCTGTCTCGGAAAAACAGACAAAAAAAAAAAAAAGAATGCTTAGGCTGGGCAGTGGCCCAGCTCACACCTTTAATCCCAACACTAAGGAGGCAGAGGCTGGTGAATCTCTGAATTCCAGGTCAGCCTGGCTTACAAAGTTCCAGGGTTTTACTCTTGAATAAAAAAGTTGCTACTAAGGCAGTGACCACGGATAGCAATTATTTGATACATCTATAGATAGGGGGCATGTACCTTGTTGTGTTGAGCCCAATATTTTTTCCTCTAATTAGGAATTCCTCCTGATCAGCAGAGGTTGATCTTTGCTGGTAAGCAGCTGGAAGATGGCCGTACTTTGTCTGACTACAACATTCAAAAGGTTTGTTTGAGGGAAAACATGCAGAAATAGAACAGTAGTGTATCCACTAACACCTGATGGGTACTGTAGCTGTCCCTGATTTTAAAATATGTGGTGGGTAGTTGATTCTTTTTGGTTTCTGGAGAGCAGTCTCCTGTACCTCTGGGCCTCCTTGAACTGGATTCCTGTGCCTCCATTTCCCTAGTGCTGGGGTAGCAGACAAGTAGAACAACACCTGGCCTTTTGACAAGCTGGAGTCAGAATTTTTGATGCTACAGTGCTGCTGTTTCCTTTTTCCACTAACAGGAGTCTACCCTTCATCTTGTGTTGAGACTTCGTGGTGGTGCTAAGAAAAGGAAGAAGAAGTCTTACACCACTCCCAAGAAGAATAAGCATAAGAGGAAGAAGGTTAAGTTGGCTGTGCTGAAATATTATAAGGTGAGCCACTTAAGTGTAGTGTTAGCAAAGCCAGATGCATTTGGAACAAGACCTGAGCAATAGACTTTTGGAAGTATAAGTTGAAAGTGAACTCCCCTTTGATATTTAAGTGAGTTTATATAATTAGAAACTGCATTTTGCTGCTGCTTCTAAGATTCTGCTCTAAGTCTTTGGAAACAGGATTTTAATTTGCAGAACCGACTTAAAGCACTAAAAATCAGCACTGTGAGATCAAGAGCTTGAGTCACTTAAATCAGACTTAAGAACATGTTTTGTGAAATCATCTTACAGTGAATTTTTGTTTTTCAGGTGGATGAAAATGGCAAAATCAGCCGACTTCGTCGTGAGTGTCCTTCTGATGAATGTGGTGCTGGAGTTTTCATGGGTAGCCACTTTGACAGGCATTACTGTGGCAAGTGTTGTCTGACTTACTGCTTCAACAAACCAGAAGACAAGTAGTTGTATATGAGTTAATAAAAAGAAGGAACTGATGTTTAGTGTTGTGTTTTATTGTACATTTAAAGAATGTTTCCTGGGCTATGTGACTTACTAGTCCTTTTGGTTCCTACCTGAGAGATGCCAGCTGCATGACAAAGACTTTAGCCAGAGAGTTACACTGTAATGTGTAAGATTATTGTCTAAGCCAATATAAACTGATTTTCCTGGCAGGCACTGAAGCACCTGGTTCAGAATTCTTTAAGGGGGTATGAAATATCCTGTAGACTTGAGAAGCTACCTCCTCATCCCTTTGATCTTTCATTAAGAGATAAGACTCAGAAAAATAAATTCACAGTGCTAATTGATTCAGAGCCTCCTGAGATACGTGCTGCCTGGAATATAAGGAAATATACTGTATTGGTATGTGCATGAGCTGTTAAATGTTTTCAGTGTTCGTTCATGATTTTTCCTCTATATAAGAGAGGCATAGTGGTGCATAGTTACTGTTTCAGCACTTGGGAGACGATAGCTGGACCCTGCATTTAAATAAAGGAACCAAAACAATACATTTTACCATTTTTAATGTGCTTTTAAAATCCTGGATCCCAAGAAGTCTTAGTTGGAACTTTATTTTCTTCATAACAAACGACTTGATCTCCCACTTTGAATTCTATTTTCTCTTCATCTAAACTAAGACCACAGTCCATACCAGTTTTTATAACTGAAACGTCATCTTTATGGTGTTTCAGTGAGGTTAATGAGCCTAAAAGAAAGAGTCACGGTGAGTATATTCAACAAATAGCAAGTTATCTACTAAGTGGTATATAGTGTGTAAGATCTGTGCCATGGCAGTTGTGGAGGTCAGAGGACAACTTGGTTACTACCTTCATGGGGTTTTGGATATTAAACTCAAGTTGTAGGGTGTATGTGGCAAGTGCCTTTACCTGCTGTGCCCCACCCCTGTACCTAACCAGGGAATCCCAAAAGATTGATTTGATCTGAAATATCCCATTCTAAAGGTAGTCTAAATCTTTATTTTTGAAGTACCCAGAAAAGAAAAGATGGCAGGCAAGTCTGGAGATCATTCGGGTTCAATCCACAGTTATGGGGACAAAACAATACAGGAGTTAAATGTTGGGAGAGCAAAAGACTTTACGGGGTGTTATCAGACCTAATTGGGATGGAGCCTATCTGTAGAGCAGTTAGAGGGTAAGCTAAGGCTATTGTCAAACATGCAGACATAGGGTTTGGATGGCTACACAATGGGGACTGTACAATTTAAGAAATAGATTTTGATATTGCTTACCCTTCCAAATAACTTGGCCGTTTCGGATTAATTTAAACTTCTTCTGTCTTTCTAACTGTCCCTTTTGAACTCTGCAGCCAGCAACAGGAACTTTTTTCTTCCCTTCTGTTACAGTGAAGGTTGCTAGTATAGAAGCCTCACCTTAGGCAGAAAACAGTGTAAGAGCTGGGAGGCAGATACAGACATGTAACAGGTAACTGCCTTCCAGAGGACCCCACCTTGATGCTTAGCACCTGCATAGTGGCTAGTGATCATCTATAACACCAGTCCTAGGAAACCCAGCATCCACTTCTGGCTTCCAGGGCACAGAGCATACATGTGCATAGACTGAAAAGAGTTCTATTTCTCTTGCCAGGCAGGCATGGTTGTGTACACCTTTATTCACAATACTTGGGAGACAGAGGCAGGCAGATGTCTGAATTCTAGGTCACTTCAGGTTCTGTTTAATATGCTGAGCAGCACTAACTGTAACCTGTGGTCTAACAACAAAGCAGTTTGATCATGTTGCTAACTGGGTGTAGTAGTGATACCTGTTGTGCCCACTTATTTCTGGAAACCTCAACTGTCCCAAATTGCTCTTGGAACAAAAACATAATACACTCTTGTATAGTGTGATACTATTTAGCAGGTCAGAATAGCCTAAAATAAAGCTATATAGACCCAAGCTGCAAAACCAGATCTTAAAAGGGAACAATGTTAAAGTTAAAAGGATAGATTCAAGAATTAGTCCAGATTACATAGGATATAAGAGATGACAACTACATGTAATTTATAAACCTGATGTAGGTGGAAAAATCTACTTTATAACCTGTTTCAAGTCTAGACAAAACATGATCATAGATTGGATTGGACTATTAGGGTTGGTACTATATAACACTCCCTTACTCTGGTCACTGGTTTTAAGTGGGACTATATATATTTGAGGCAAATGAGCATAATATTTCACAATTTAAAATAAGTTTGGCCTTTAGTCTGGCCAAGAATATTCTAGAATACTTTAAAATATCTGGTATTTTATATGCTTTCAATATATTATACCAGGACAAAACCAAAGACTCCTCTATGATAGCCTGTATTATAAACACTGTTCATGTGTAGACTTGAGCCAAGTTCTTAGTCATTTTGTTTGCTTTTGTATCCTCTAGGCTTAAGGTAACTTGTGTGGGACTTACAAGTCACCGTGAATTCTCACTCATGGTAGTCATTTTTTTTCTAGAATACACACTGTGTACTGGGACAGTGAATCTATTTCTCTTACGCTTTGCTTTTTTAGGTGCTATTTACAGTGCCGTAGTTCAAATGCTGCAAAGTAGCAGTTAGCACTCACCTATTGGGTACTCCTCCAGCGTGTGGGGCAATCTGCTGCTTAGTTCCTCCTGCAAATCTTCAATAAGATGGTAGATGATTTTGTGAAGTTTAATCTTAACTCCCTTTTGTGCAGCTGACTGCTGAATAGCACTGCCTGCATCCACATTAAAGCCATAAATAACACCTGGGAAGCAGAAATAAGATCCTGTTAGCACAAGCATTACATTACAGTCACTTACCTTTGAGGCAGAAAGTCAAATCCAAATGGTTTTATTTCCTTCTTTGTAAATTACATAGCAATAGGGAAGTTCTGTGACTTTCATGAAAACTAGTAATTTAACTTATTACTGAGTTTTATAAACTACATCTTGTTTACAAGGATGTTTTCTTAATGATTTAAAACAATTTTTTTTTTTAGATTTATTTTGAATGTTTTGCTTACATGTATAATGTGTATGCATGCCTGGTGGCAGAGGTGGTTAGAAGGGGGAGTCAACTGTCCTAGAGCTGGCATTACAAGGTCATAGGGTGGTGTAAAGTACTAAACAGACTGCTAACAGCTGACAGCACTCAAAGAGTGACAGATACCTGGAACTGCACCCTTTGACCAGGGCAATAATGATGTTTTAAACAACAACAAATCAAGAAACAGTACTTGGGACTTGTAATAGTTCCTAAGTTTGCAGTGGCCATGACAGATGGGCTACGATATTCCTGCACAGAGGAGAATGCTGGCCAATGATCAGCCAAACACAAAACAGGTAAAACATGTAGAATATCACCTAGAGAGCCCAGTTTAACATACAGCTAACAGAATCTTTACCATCAAATGTCTCAGCAAAGGTAACATCATTTTCACTGATATCACCCAATCCAAAATGCACTAATTCTAGTTCACATTCGTGGGAAGCATCATAGGTATCCAGAAGGTTCAAGATGGTCTCCACAGACCCATCAACGTCACCTAAAAGCGCAGCAAGAGTTTAAAATGCATTGGTTGTAAAAGGCAGATATATAAAATGCAATCTATTTTAAAGCTAAGACAGGAATGGCTTTATCACTAAAATCAAATCACTTTTATTTAACTTTAGCATTATGAGAACTAATTGATAAAATACAAATTAAGATACATTTGCAATGAAATCAATATAATCTATACTTGCTCAGAAAAAAAAAAAATTGAACATCAAACCACTAAAATAGTTTCAACTTCAATTAAGGGTTTCCTGGGGTAGTGAACATCTGTAACCTGGACATTTACAGGCTAGGCAGGAGGAAAGGTCAGCCTGGTTTCTAGAGTAAGCCCAGGCTAGTTTGGGCTTATAGAGCAAGACTGCAACTCTCCCCTCCCTAAATAAAACTAAAGGAGAGGGGTCCCATATGAATTATGAGAATAAAAAAAACATTTAAATACTTGTAAAACCTTCAAAAAATTACCTTTAATAATTACAGGAAGTACATTTGAGTCCCTTTCTACCTTTTCTTTGGGCTTTAAGGGTTTCTGTTCTTTTCTTTCAAGGTACTTTATATATGATCTCTCCTTCCAGTTCAGAGTGCCATACTTCTCACGGTTTTTCCGATGTGCTTCTTGGTGTTCTTTTCGCTTTTCTTCCAGTATTTTCAGGTTATCTTTGCCTTTTTCTTCTTTTTGCTCAGACTTCCTCCATTCAACAACTTCACGGGCCCTTGGCTTTACAGGGAAGACGGGCATGATTTAATGAAACAACACCAGTGTCTGCTAGGTTAAAGGCTTTCTGCTTTCCCCATTATGAAATCAGCTTAATTTCATGTATGAAACCACTAATTTTATAATTTTAGGAATTTTATATAGAACTGAAACAGTTTTAAAACTTTATCTGTAAACTATAATACTAGTTAGATTCTGAAATGTTATGCTGTCCTCTCCATAACCATTTACAAACTATAACTATCTCAATGTCAGCACTCTTATTTAACATCAAATATTATACACAGGTACATAAAGCCATCATATAACGTCTAACATTAGGGAGTTAGGCTTGAATACCTCAGAGTCTACTTCAAGAATTCCGTCTCCTGCAGAAGGGAGGTCTCTCCAGCCTATGATTCCCACTGGCATGCTGGGATAGGCTTCATTAAGTGTTCTTCCATTTTCATCAAACATTAGTCGAACTTTTGCCCAACTCTTCCCAGCAACTAAAATTGAGCCCTTTCTCAGAGTTCCTCTTTGAATTATAGCTGTTGTAACAGGACTAAAATGAACATAAAAAGTAAGAATTCTTAAAGCTTAATCAGGACACAATTGTACTTTGTTAAATATAACAAAAATAGCTTTATGAAACATGTGCACACACACACACACACCTATGAATATATAGGATTAATTTCCTTTTCAACTTCTCAAGCAGTTTTGGATAGTATAAAGACATTTACTTGGCCAAGGATTTATCACACTAAACTTGCTTAACATGGGAAATCACAGCTTTTTATTCCCCCCAGTGTGGTTTGTTTAAGATTCATTTATGTGCCCGAGTGTTTCACTTGCATGTATATATGTCCACCATGTGCTTGCCTGGTGCTCTCAGAAGGTATCAGATCCCTGGGATTGGAGTTACAGAAGGCTGTGAGGCACCATAAAAATGCAGAGAACTAAATCTAGATCCTTTGCGAGAGCAACAAGTGCTCTTAACTGCTGACTCATCTCTCCAGCCCCTCAGTGTGGTTTCTTGAGACAGTCTCTTAAACTAGACTAATCTAGACTAATCTGGCCTTGACTCTTCCAACCTCAATCTTCAAAATGGTGGGATTACAGAAGTAAGTAAACACACGGGGACAGGCCTCAGGCTGTCCTCATTATGACAAAATCCAAAAATAAAAACAAAGTATTCTTCATAACAGCCAAGGAGTAGAAGAAAAACAAAGATGTAGAAGCAGCCCCAAGTCTTTCAATAGAGGAAAGATCGGGTGACCACACTTGGGAGCCCTGTCTCTTGCTAACTGAAGCAAGGTGATCATGAACGGACACATCCCATGTGACTGCACTAACAGAGCACCTAAGGGGGAAAGTGCCACAGGCAGTGTGTCCTGGCTCAATCCTATCCTGCTTTCTAATTCATTCTACACATGGGTTATGCAATTGCTCATAGCTCTTAACAGCATACAAAGCAATGAGAAAATCTCTTGTGCTTCTGGGCAGGACACTCAAGAAGAACATGTCATACAATGAGCTTCCTAGGTTAAGCCAAAGAATTAGACACCAAAATGCAACAACTGATATTTCACTCCAATTCATTGTTATTCTATCTGTAAATGCAAATATGTGGGCCAATGGTAAGTAGAAAACAAATCAATTTAACTACTTTAGCCATCAAAGTGTGACTAGGGACATGTAGACAGTTGATGTGGCTGGTCTCCTGACAACTTCATTTTTGTATTCAGTATACTAGTGCAATGAAATACTTTGAAAACACGTTTTTTAAAAAGTATGGCCCAGAAACCAAGAGTACACAGTAAAACTATATACAACCCAGTCACAAAAATAACCAACCAGAATAATAATCCATTTTAGTAATAATAATCCATTTTAGTGCAATCCTACCCTCTTCCTTTGTCTGTGAAAGATTCTATTACTGTTCCTTCCACTGGACCCGTGGGATCCGCTTTCAGTTCCAACACTTCTGTGAGAGCAATTGTTGCTTCTGCCAAAGCCATCAGGTTATCTCCCTTTAACAACAGGGTAATACATATCAGTAAATGATATTGGTAAATGTCAGGGTAAGAAGACCAAATAAATCTTAGGACAGCTACAGTTTTCTTTTTAAGAATGAAAGTCATGAAATAACCAATTTTACAAAATGAAGAGGAACAGCAAGCCTTCAGCAATCAAACCTGACCTGAGGACAAATACTTACAGGAACAATTCTACCCGGCAGCCACTAGAGGCGGTGACTAATACCTTTGATAAGCACATGTTCCATTCACTGAATTCTGTCTCCTCTATCTGCTTCCACAATTGTGGCTTTCTTCTTTCTTTTTGTATTAAAAAGAAGATTCATTTATTTTTATTTTATGTGCAATTAGTATTTGCAAGCATGTAAGTATATGCACCCAGTGCAGTCCTGGTGCTGCAGATGCCAAAGAAAGATTCTATGGAACTAGAGTTCCTGCCAGCATCTGTTTTTTTTTTTTCTTTTGGTTGTTGTTTGTTTTTCGAGACAGGGTTTCTCTGTGTAGCCCTGGCTGTCTTGAAACTTGCTTTGTAGACCAGGTTGGCCTTGAACTCAGAAATCTGATTGCCTCTGCCACCTGTGTTCTGGGTTAAAGAGGTACACCAACACTACACAGCATGTATTTTGAATTTTGTAAAAACAGAGTCTCATGCTGTAACCCAGGTTTGCCTGGAAATCACTACTCACTAAGGAACAACCCAGGCTGGCCTGGAGTTCAGAGCAGTCTTTGTGATTCAACCTCCCAATGCTGGGAACACAGACATGAACCACTGTATACAGATACAACTGTGGTTTTTTGTTTTTTTGGTTTTTTTTTTCCACCTTGCAAACTTTCCTAATGATGCAACTTTATATCTCAAAATTATTCAATGGAACAAACCTTTCCATCTATTATTGGTCTACTCAAGAACCCTATGAAATAAGTAAACCAAGTGTTACTTACTTATTAAAAAATAATAAGAAAAGAAGCTGCCTAGTCATGAGTTTTAAACTATACTCTGTAACCACCCACCTACGAAAACTTGAAAAATTACTTCGCCTCCCTGGGTTGCCTTCAATTATAATATAAGGCTAGGTGAGATTATCTGATCACTTTCAGTGGTGTATGTACACGATGCTCCTCAGATCACATAGCTCAGCTGGGTGTGGTGACGCACACCTTCATCCTAGCACTGGGAGAAGGAGGTAAGGCAAACAGATCCTTGAGTTTAAGGTCAACCTGTGGACACTGAGGTCCAGGGTAGTCAGGGCTATTAACTGGTGATAGGACTGAGCTGATGGGTAAGAGGTCCTGCTGTTCTCGTGCCAGCTAAGGGTCTGGTTGTTTTCTTCTTTCTCCTTCTCCTTCTTTTTTTTTTTCTTCTTTTTCATTCCCCCCCCCCCAAGATAACAGGGTTTCTCAGAGTATCCCTGGCTGTCTTGGAACTCAGTCTTGAGACTGGTCTAGCCTAGAACAGAGAGATCCACTTGCCTCTGCCTCCTGAGTGCTGGGGTTAAAGGCATGTGTCAGTTCGCCAAGCAAGGTAGTGTCAGACCTGAACCTAGAACTGCACAGCACAGTGCATCACTGAACCTAGAACTGCACAGCA